TGTAGCTTATATCACTCTCGTCTTCAGCTAGATTGGCTTGGTCATCAGCGAAATGTATCGTGTACAATCTATCATCTCCGATTGGGATGCCCATATTGCAGCACTTTCTTTTCCACAGTGAGAGTGCCTCATTTAGATATATTTTGAAGAGTGTAGGTGCTATGCAGCAGCCTTGCTTTAGGCCCTTACTAATAGGAATTTCTCTAGTTAATCTATTTCCAGTTTTAATGTTTGCCGTCATATTTTTGTAGAGCTGTTGTACTGCTTGTATATTTTTTTTGCTTATTCCTTGTTTTTCCATTGCTACCCAAAGCATTGAAAGTTTTACACTATCGTATGCCTTTGTCAGATCTATAAAGACTATATGAGTTGAAAGGTTGTGGGCTAATCTTTTTTCGATAACTTGCTTTAGAGAGAATATACTGTCCATGCAGGATCTGCCTGCCCGAAAGCCATTCTGTTCTTCTACATCTGTCATCTCTTTTTCAATTTTATTTTTTATTATTTTTCCATACAGTCTTGAGAGTGAATTTATGACACTTAGCCCCCTATAGTTTGAACAATTCTTTCTATCTCCTTTTTTGTATATGTTGTTAATATGTGCTTTTGTCCACTCCGGTGGTAAGTCGTGTCCATTATAGAATAAGGTGAAGACATACGCCAGTAATTCCCGTAATACTTGTGGGCTATGTTTTAATAATTCATTTGGTATACCTTGTGGTCCGCATGACTTCCCATTTTTTAGAGTTCGTATTGCATTCTCGACTTCCTGTACTGTTATTTCATCGTCTTCACTGAATTCCAGTTCATATGTTGTTGTACTGATGTTCGTGAATTGAGGTCTTGTTTCAGTTAAAAGTTGTGAGTAGTGTTCGATCCAAGATTTTTCTTCTAATAAATCTATTCTACTCGTTTCTTTTCTGTTTGTTCTCAGATTTTTTACCGTTTTCCATGCTTCTCTTGATCTTGTTGACCCTATATATTTGTTGAGTTCTTCGCATTTACTTTCCCAGGAAATATTTTTTGCTTTAGTTACTAAGTTTTTTACTTCTCTGTTTAATCTTGCATATGTTCGTCTATCATCTGGATCATTTGTTTGCAGCCACTTTTGATATGCTTGTTTCTTTTTGTGTACTGCATTGGCGATGTCATTTGTCCACCACAATGGAGTACTCTTTTTGTTCTTTTGGATTGTGCCGAGCGCTTCGTAAGCTGCTTCATTGATTTTATTGATTATCTCTTTATAGGTATTCTGGGCTGAGGAGTAGATCAGGTTTGCCAATTTTAGGCTAAGTCGCAGCTTATATAAGAATGATGTCGAGTCGTTTTGCAGTGCATCAATATTGTATTTAGGTAGATTCGATTCCAGCGGTTTTGATTGAGCTAGTTGGTTGTCATTTTGATGTAGTGGCCGAGGTCGATACTGTAGGTAACATTTTGATCTTACCATATAGTGGTCAGTTCCGCACTCCGGTCCTCTTAGTACTCTTACGTGTTCAACTTGTATGTGTGTTTCTTGTTTTGTGATGACATAATCTATAATTGACTTTGTGTTTCTCGTTGGTTGAACCCAGGTGTACTTATGTATGTTTTTATGTTGGTAGAATCCGTTTAGGATTTTTAGAGAGTGCTGTTCACAGAATTCGATTAAGTGTTCCCCATTTTCATTTGTTTTAGCGTCACCATATTTTCCTACGACTTTGTCATTTATTTTTGTTCCTGTCCAAGCGTTAAAATCTCCCAACAGCACAATTTCTTTGCGGCTATTTATATTTTCAATGAGTTCCGATAAAGTTTCATAGAATATTTGTTTAGCTGCTTTTGATGCATTTTCTGACGGAGCATATATTCCAATGATCTCGAGGTCGTGCCCTTTCCACGTAATAGATACTCTAATAATTCTCTCATTGATCTGCTTCCAGCTTTTCAGGTTTCCTTTTAAGTCTTTTTTAATCAATATTGATACCCCTGCTTGTGCTCTTTTGTCTTTATCTACTCCACTATAAATATGTATAAAACCTCCTATGTCTTCACTACCTTGGCCTTTTTTCTTTGTTTCGGTAAGAACCGTGATATCTGATTTTATTTTCTTTACTTCTGCCATGACTTCGTCTGACTTGGTTCTCCACCCTTGGATATTCCATGTATTTATATTCAAAGTCCTTGTTCGTTTGCTACGTCGTTTTCGTTTTTTCCCGTCCATATTCCGAGGCTGGATTTTAGAATTTTTTGCAGTAAGTTTTTTACGGGTGTAGAGGAGCAGGCTCTACGTCCCAACCGCCTACCAGGAGGACCAGGATTTTCTGTTAGGGTTTACTTCCTTAGTCGAGAGAAGAGTAGTAGAGTGTAGTAGACAGAATTATAGTGACCCGTCCGCCCTCGGATTACCCTAATAGCCACTCGGGGTCGGAAAAACAAGAGTTTGCCAAGAGAGGCTGATAGAAAAGATTAAAGACATTTCACTCCAGACAAGTTGAAAAAGAGCAAAATGTGAAGGCCCTTATGATCCGCCAGATACGTTTCATAAGCGTATGAGTATTGGTACATTTTGTATTCCCGCTCATACCTCGGGGTGTCGACTACAGACTGTATGGCTCGTCCAGCATGCCATAGCATGGAGGATAGGGTGCGTGTCATTTTTACAATGTAGACCCCTAAACTCCACGGCCTGACGTCGTTTTTTTAATATTGATTTAATGGATAATATTTGTGCCAATCGTTCGTTAAATATCAGGGACACAATTTTGTATGCCGTATTAATAAGCAAAATCCATCTAAAGTTAGAACAGTCAAGCACGTTTTTTTTGTGTATAGGGCGTATAATTCCAGTATTCCAATCGTCTGGTAAAGCGCGTTTTTGCCATTTCCGTATTTATAGTTTGTGAACAAGGGTTTTTGACCGTCACATTTACATATTTCTGCTGGTAGGTTATCTGCTCCGTGTGACTTGTTTCTGGCTAGAGCTGAATTGTTTTATTCATTGCTTTCAAAGTTTGTACAGTTGGTAGCTCAGCTTCCTTCTGTTCTAGTTCTGCATTATCTCTACCTTTAGCTCTACTTTCTCTATTAAGTAGCGTACTAAAGTTCTACTGCCACCTTTTCATTTCTTTTACTTTGCGTCTGTTTTATCCTCGGTGGATGCATGTTCATTTATGAGACTGCAGTTAAAAAATGTTTCCAGAAGAACGAGAAGAAGAACGCATATTCTATGGTCTATTGCTTTATAAACTTTTGTACCTACAGTTATAGTATATTGTATTCAAATTCTGAATAGAACTGGTTACTTTCCGTCGTACATCCTTTATAACTGTTATGTTCATATTATATTTGAGTATCTAAGAGTCATATCATCGCTCCTGCAGGGTAGAATGTTTTCACGTTTCATAGTCCAAATCGAATATACTTTTTTCGTTTGACGGATCGTCTACGTAAGGTCTGTCCGGTTTGTGTTTTTTAGCTCTACTAACAATGCTTTTTTTAGGGTAGGGTCACAGAATAATAAACAATCAGAATGCCCACTCTCCATGGAAAATTAAGTAAGCGCATCTCCTTCGCGCAGACGTTCCGCCATGTTTTAGAGGGAAACAGTGTTGTTTATGTGGTGTGCATAGAAAAATTAACCCGGTTTAATTGACTTACGGCAACCATAGACATGCTATACAATTATATTAACATTGTTAAATATAATAACATAAATATAATATAATTAAACATAAATATAAACAATTATATAACCTCACAAATCATATGTCTGTATTATATGATTCCTTCTAAAACATGGCGCGCGTGCTGAAAAACTATTCTGTGGTAGGGTCGTTAGCCTTATGTCCAAACCATAGACTCAAAGGACCAGGTCCGCTTCTGTTTGTCTATACAGTCTGATATCTTAGTCTGTTTTGGTTCAAGGATAATATTTTATTCCCCACCTACCCGCTGGTTCTAGAGTCGGTTAGGGAGTGCTCCTATCCACCACCTAGGGACGCGTCCGATGAAATACAGACAACTCCACACGGATTAATTATATCATAAGAACAATTAAAAAATAATTATAATCAGATCTCTTTTGTTTAAAACAAACCTAAAACACGCAAGAGGAATAAACAAAGAAATGCATATTCAACAACTTGTCAAAAATGTCAAATTTTTAGTTAGAAATGTAATTTTCAGTAGTAATATCCCTAGGACATTGATAACAGACGAGATAATTTCATGACAATCGAAAGCTCGTTCCTTGGTAACAGCACGAAGCCGAAGGCTGAGTGCTGTTACCAAGCAACGAGCTTGAGAAATTTGTCATGAAATTATGAGGCATTCATCAATATCCGAGGGATATTCGGCGGATAATTTTTCGAAAAAAAAAAATCATAACTCAACATAACGAAACATTTATTTATTAAAAGTACAGTTAGTGAAAGTATAATTATTAAAATTAAAGTTAACATTAGAAACGTGACATTTTTAAATTTAATTGGATGAACTCGATCGTGCTGTCATAGGAATTGAAAATTGCACTGAATGCAATTATCAGTTTAATGTTGGCATGATTGGGTGAAATTGTTCCACATGACACAAAATGACGAAATTTGAATGGTTGCTAGAACAGTCGAAAAATTATCATTATAATCAATTGTGACTTAATTCCATATAAAAACAATCTGTAACTTGGACATACCACAAGAAAATAGTTTCAATAACTTATTAGTAAAAGTTTTAACTAAATAAGTTTGCTCTTATTTACTAAAATTAGTATTTAACTATTATTTATTTTAATTAATAATAGAAAAAAAAATATATACAACATAAATTTTTATTTTCACATCTTTATATTATTGTGGGCCCTCGGACTAACATATTTAAAACATGATTACAGCTTCCCTGAAATACTTGTTCTAGACGATTCAGACTGGCCAAGCGGCGGACACGGCGTCCATCTACCTGTTCCCCTACTTGACTTGAGCAGTTTGTCTACCAACTGAAAGAGGAGGATAACCCAGAATACCAGTAATGAACGGTAGAGTTTGAGCTCCGCAAGTGTACTGTATTGTGAGTGATCGTGAATTCAAAGTAACCATGAAAGTCTGTCTTATTGTA